TCTTTTTTAAAAAAATAAACTTTAGGCCGGGCGCGGTGGCTCAAGCCTATAATCCCAGCACTTTGGGAGGCCGAGGCGGGTGGATCACGAGGTCAAGAGATCGAGACCATCCTGGTCAACATGGTGAAACCCCGTCTCTACTAAAAATACAAAAAATAAAAAATAAAAAAATAAAAAATAAACAAACTTTGATGTATATTTTGCATACAATAAAAGTACACCCATTTTAAGTGTACGCTTCAATAGATTTTTGACAAATTTATACACCCAAGTACTACCACAATCAAGATATAGTTCCATTTCCCCCAAGAGTTCTCTAATGCCCTTTTCAGTAAACCCTATAGTCAGCCCTAGGCAATTATGGGTGTTTTCTGCTACCAACAGATTAGGTCTGCCTTTTCTAGAAATTATTAATAGGCAGTAACATTTATTGAGCATACCATGTGTCAGGCATTGCCGATTATATCTTTTTATTCTCAAAATTCTAAGAGGAAACAGGTTAACAGAAGTTTAACATGCTCAAGGTCACACAGCCAGTGTATAGCAGAATGAGACCGAAACTCTACTTCTCTCTAGAATCGATTAGTTCTACCTGGTCTAAAGGATAGAAAGCATAAATATTCCTCCAAGTTGAAGAAATTACTTTTGGCCGGGCGCGGTGGCTCAAGCCTGTAATCCCAGCACTTTGGGAGGCCGAGGCGGGTGGATCACGAGGTCAAGAGATCGAGACCATCCTGGTCAATATGGTGAAACCCCGTCTCTACTAAAAATACAAAAAAAATTGGCTGGGCATGGTGGCGCGTGCCTGTAATCCCAGCTACCCAGGAGGCTGAGGCAGGAGAATTGCCTGAACCCAGGAGGCGGAGGTTGCGGTGAGCCGAGATCGCGCCATTGCACTCCAGCCTGGGGAAAAAAAGGGGAAAACCCCCTCTCAAAAAAAAAAAAAAAAAAAAAAAAGAAATTACTTTTAAGAACTCAACAGAACTTTCTGAAATTTAATATTCCCTTAGCACAGAACTCATTAACAGCTGGATTTAGATACATAGTGAGCTCAATTACATACCTGGACATACAGAATCATCATGAGAAGCCTGATTTAGATTATGAGTTATCATCCTTAACACTTCCAAGAATAGAAAGATGCTCTATTGTACATTACTGTAGATTATTAATTATAACCTCCTAAAGTCAATAGTCCTGACCAGGAACAGTGGCTCACACCTGTAATCCCAGGACTTTGGAAGGCTGGTGAATCACTTGAGATCAGGAGTTCAAGACCAGCCACAGTCAACATGGTGAAACCCCGTCCCTACTAAAAATACAAAAATTAGCTGGGTGTGGTAATGTGTGCCTGTAATCTCAGCTACTCAGGAGGCTGAGGTGGGAGAATCACTTGAACCAGGAAGGTGGAGGTTGCAGTGAGCTGAGATTGTGCCACTGCATTCCACCCTGGGCAACAGAGTGGGTGGGGGGGCTGTCTCAAAAAAATAAAATAAAAAAATAAAGTCAACAGTCCTGTTATTTGAATGGGTGTGTTAAAAAAATTTTATGTTATCAATATTTAGAAGGGAACTCTTCCTCCTTTTCTGTTTAATGATTTGTATAGAAAATGTATTTCAGGCCAGGCACAGTGGCTTACACCTGTAATCCCAGCATTTTGGGAGGCCGAGGTGGGTGGATCACGAGGTCAAGACATCAAGACCATCCTGGCCAACATGGTGAAACCCCATCTCTACTGAAAACACAAAAATTAGCTGGGCATGGTGGAGCACACCGGTAGTCCCAGCTGCTTGGGAGGCTGAGGCAGGAGAATCACTTGAACTTTGGAGGTGCAAGCTGCAGTGAGCTGAGATCGAGCCACTGCATTCTGGCCTGGTGACAGAGTGAGACTGTCTCAAAAAAAAAAAAAAAAAGAAAGAAAATGTATTTCAAGTAACCCCTTTTTTTCCCCAAGAAAGCTTAATACACAGATAAGACATTTACCAAAGTGAGTTACCAATGGTTAACTCCAAGTGTCACAAACATAGGGTACCGACAGTTTAAGTTGGTCTTCTATTTTTGAAAGATCTTAACACATAATGTGAAAAGTATAAAGATATTTATAAGTTATTTAAAATAAAACACATTGACATTTATCTATAAATTGTAAAGAAAATGATTTCCTTCTCTGAGTAAACTAAAAAGTTGACGTTGACGGTTTCTTAAATAGAAAAGAGCCAAATTACCAATGTAACTTTATGTTTAAGGGCCAAAAAAAACAGCTGTTTGTTTTCCTACCAATAAATAAAAAAAGGACTCAGAATGAAATAAGGATTATCTTCCCAAGTCTGGATATCAACATGTGGCTTTGGGTGTCAGCATGGTATTCCAAAAAAATGAAGTTTCTAATAGTGCTGGAAGTACTAAATTAGCTTACTAACCCTTATAACTTTATAAGAGCCAGAATGTATTGTTTCAAAATAACTTGAAAAATGGAAGTGAATACTCAAAGATAAGTTAGGCAATTTGCCTAAAGCTTCATCAAGAGACTCGGGAGGAGACAGTGAATTAGATCCTTTAGAATGCAGTGTTCTGTCTACTTGCCAGAGGAAGGCATCTGGGAGTCTATGACAGCTTCAATAAAATATGTAAAATGATGAATGATGCTGCTGATTAGGTGGAAAGTGACAGAAAGACAAGTGTTTAGGGATGCTAGAATTGCCAGTGGAAATCAGTGGGAAATTAAAAACAAAACAAAACAAAACAAAACAACACATCTAAAGGCTTACCTCTGGTTGTTTCACAAGCATAACATCCATTACCGAATACCTATGGCATGAAAGATTTGTAGTTTTTTTTTTTTTTCTTTGAGACAGGGTCTCACTATGTTGCCTAGGCTGAAGTGCAGTAGCACGATCATGGCTCAATGCAGCCTGGAAAATTTAAAAAAATTTTTTTGTAGAGACAGGTTCCCACAGTGTTGCCAAGGCTGGTCTTGAACTCCTGGCCTCAAGTGATCTTTCTGCCTTGGCCTCCCAGAGTGCTGGGATTTTAGGTGTGAGCCTATAATTTGGGAATTAAATTCCCAAAATTGAAGTCTAGGAACAAGTCACTTATCAGTGAGTGAATCTAGCCAGCTACTGAGCATTTTGTTATTTATTTATTTTTTGAAGACAGTCTTGTTCTTGTCACTCAGGCTGGAGTGCAATGGCACAATTTCGGCTCACTGCAACTTCCACCTCCTGGGTTTCAGTGATTCTCCTGCCTCAGCCTCCTGAGTAGCTGAGATTATAGGTGCCCGTCACCATGCCTAGCTAATTTTTGTATTTTCAGTAGAGATGGGGTTTCACCATGTTGGCCAGGCTGGTCTCAAACTCCTGACCTCAGGTGATCCACCTGCCTCGGCTGCTGTTCCCCTAACAGCAGCAAACTTATCTTTCAACTTACTTTTCCTCACATTACATATATAATTTGGGAGAAGGAACAAAAAAGCGAGGGAAATTATAATCTCCTAATTGAGGTATAAAAGATAACTTTCCACACTGAATAGTTACAAACACTTAGAGACAGTATGACAGGAGGCAGAGATACCAACAGCACTGGAAATGGTGATGGAGAGCAAATCTCAAAAAGCAGTTTTCTATAGCTTAGTCACACTTGGCTTAATTTTTCACTTTTTGTACTTAAAAGGTATGGCAATTTTTTGGCGCTTTATTTAGTAATTATGTCAATTTGCCTGATAATACAATTTCAGTACATTACTTTCCTTAAATCATTTCCCTTTGGTGAAACAGAAAAAGCAGAATTGGTCTTCAGGCATGTGTGCTCAAATCAAATGATCTTTCCCCATTATGGTTATGTTCTTCCAGTGGTCACCTTCCCTTAGATGCTCTTTCATGCAGCAAAGTGAGTCTTTACCTTGTACTAGGAACTGTTCAGACACTGGGGAAACCATGTCAACAGGGCCCACATGATCCCTGTCCCTGCCCTCAAGGAGACAGACAACAAATAAACGAATACAATAACTACACAGGGATCTGGAGCTGTAAAGGGTGCTCTATTAAAGTTAGTGGCTGTGGAACTAATTTGAAGAGGGTAGTCAGGGAAGGCTACTCTGGGACAGATTTAGGCAGAGGCCCGAAGAAAGATGGATTTGGATAAACAGTACGTTTACGGAGAGTTCAAGGAAGAGGTACCAATTACACTCATGCTGTGTGTGTAAAGGAGGCGGGATAAAAACATTCATTCCAGGCATAGAGACCATAAAGTGTTTCTTGGAGAGGAAAAGTGCGTTGTGGAGGGTTAGGTGGCCAGTGTAGCTGAAGCTTCAGGAGCCAGACAAGAAACGGGATTGTAAACGTGGGTTAAGGACCACATCCTACAGGGCCTTGTAGGCCATGGCAAGGAGTCTAGCTTTTATCTCAACGCCAAGAGAAGCTGTAGGGTTACTTCAGACAGCTGAATTACACGATCTGTCTTTCTTGTTAAAAGATCACGCGGGTAAAACGAGACGTGTCGAGGAAAGTTTTAAACGCAGAGAACTTAAGTCAGATGCAAAAATTATGCACTTCTCCGGGCCTCAGGTTTTCCATAAGTAAAGCCTTGAACTAGAGGCCATTTCCCTTCCACTGCGATGTGGTGAGTTCTGAGCACGGGCACCGTCAGATTGACCATGGAATTCCCCTCATCTACGCCGGCGCCCAGAACACAACTGGCGCCCTGAAACTGTTGGTCACCGCAATGAATCAATGAATGCTCTGCTATGGGCACGGGACCAGGCCCCGGCGCCCGAAAAGAACGCGATGGGTCGCGCGGGAGGCCGCGAGGGGCGTCCGGCGAGGACGTAGGGGCCGGCTACACCATAACCAAGGCGTGCCGAGAAGGGGAACCCAACCCGGGCCTCGCAGGTTGAGGGAAGAAAAAAATAGGACTAGGGCCCGACACCGGGAACTAGGAGAGAAGGCCGAAAAGTGGGGCGGAGGAAGGGTTCTGGTTCCAGGCCTGGGGGCCCAGCCACTCACCGCAGCCGTCGCCAGGCTGTGCATGTTGGGAGCGGCCGCCGCTCTCCTTTCGCAGCCGGACGCGCCGGACCCGCGTCCCAGCTTCAGCACCCCTGCCGCCGAAAATAATGAGCCGCCGTAGCAGCCATCCGCCTCTAGCTCGCTCCGCCCCCTTCGCAGCCCTCTGACCTATCACCTCTGACCCCACCCACACATCCTCTTCCCGCCCCCTGGCCCTCGGCCTAGTTAACAGTCCCAGAGTATGTCCTTTGCCCCTTAAGATTTAGGACCGGAAAAACGTCCGCGACCAACTAGTCCCCGCAACTCCTGGCTTTGAGCAGGTATTTCCAGAGAGTGGTGTGAACTCTGACCCTTCTCCAGAGGCCAGTGAACGGCGGGAAAAGATGGACCGTCCCACGAGGACAACAATTGCGCATGCCCGGCTGGGCAGAGTAGGAGGGAAATGATGGGAGGGTCGAAATTGGGTGAAGTGGAAAGTGCGCGTGCGTACTACAGTCAGGGCTGGGGCGGGGCTGACCGGGTTAGGCCGCGCTAGGTGCCGTGGGGGGCGGGGCAAGGGCGTGTGAGGGGCGGAGTTTTCGCTGGCGCGCACGCGCCTGTGTGGTCGCGTCAAGTGTGCGTGCGTGCGTGCGTGTTTGCGTGTGGTCATAGTTCCCGCCATCAGCCGCTCTCTCTGACTAGGGGTGGGTAGCGGCCTCCCTCCTTTGGGTTTGGTATCCCTACTTTCATTACCCCCTGCTCCTCTCGCTCTGCGCCGTTCCGTGCTTTCCGCAGGTCTGTCCGGGGGCTCCGGACCCTCAGCGCAGGTAAGGAGGGTCGGGGTAGCGTCTCAATTGAGCCGTTTTCTCTAGCGCCCCGTCCCTCTGTGCGATCCGCCCACTCGGCGTTCACTCTTCAGGAGTTCGCCCAGCTGCTACTAAGGCCGCCCACAACCCCTCGACGCACCCTCAGCCTCACAGGTACTCCCTTTGGGTGCACTGCCCCGGCTTTCCCCTCTTTTGACTTGGTCTCCACTGCCAGTCGCTCCCTCCGAAACTCGAACCTGGCCTCTTTCCTGTGGGGCTGTTGTCGTCAGCCACTTGCCTCTTAACAAGGCCTGCTGTCTCTTCAGGTGACTGTGACTTTGGTTGCCACACATCCACCAGGCCTTGGACATGATACTCATTTACCCTCTTGACCGTGTTCACCTTCCTCTTGACCAGTCCTCACTGCAAAACATGAGTTGTATTTTTGTTGTGCATTTCCTTGCGCCCATTTCTAGCTATCAGATCAGGTTGTTAGATATAACTATTTTAAGTCATGATCTGTAAAGGAAATGATTGATGACAAAGTCCTGTGTCCTGGAGAGTTGTCTTAAATTGGTTTTGGGGTAGTCCTCTCAAAATTTCAGCTCCGTATAAATTCCTTTATTGAGGTGGCAATTCCTGGCAAGTTTAGGAAGAGACATCTGAGAGGGAATGTCAAGTAGGTAGTTGGATATAGTGGGTGAGCTCTTAGGAGAGTTCTGAGCTGGATACGTAAATGTGTGTGTGGGTGTATATGTCATCTGCCATGTTGATAATAATTGAAGCCACGGATGTGGATGAAAAAGCCTAAAAAGAGTATAGTGCTGTAAAATAAAGGCACCTAGGATGGAGCATCGAGGGATTCCTGACGTTTAATAACTGATAGAGGAGGATTCGTCTTTTAAGAGATGAAAGAAATCATCAGTAGTGTTGCATTCTGCTGAAAGGTAAAATGGAAGGAGAACAAAAAACCCAGTAACATAAAAGTAATCACTTGTCTTAAAGATGTTTGATAAAGTAAAATGAGTATTTGGGTTCAGTGCTAGGTCCTTTTCTTTTACTCTTATATTCCTCTCTAAGCTTTAAATTCTATCTCTATATTGATGACTTAAAAATTGTTATTTTCAGCCTCTTCCCTTTGTTTTCAGCCCCACATCTAAATAGCCAGCTCTCTGCTTGATATTTCAACTTGATTTTTTTCTTAGGAGTTTCCAGTGTAACACAACCAAATCCAGAGTCTTGATCTTTCTCTCCATACCCAATTTTTTCTTCTTCAGTGTCCCATTTTATTAAGTGGCATATTACACAGGCTACAAATTTGGGAGGCATTCTTGGTTTCTACCCTCTCCAAGTTCTTTCTACTCTACTTCCAATATGTGTCTTGCATCTTTTTCTGTACATTTTCTCTATCACTTTTCTAGTTTAAGCCACAGTCCTTTTTCACCTGGACTCGATTGCCTTGGCTTCTGGTATTATCATCTGTAAAATGGAAATAGTAATTTTCAGTTGATTGAATTGTTGCAAGGATTAAATGAGATAACCGTGATAAGCACTTGGCACAGAGTAAATGGCCAGTAAGCATTAATTGTTATTGCAGTTGTTATAAGCTTATTGGCTTCAATAGTCTTCTGTCTGGTTACCTTATTTCCTTCTATTCTTGCTCTTAGTCACTCTTCTCCCAAAACCCAAACCATATGACTTCTCCTTTCAGTAGTAACATATTTCTTTGCTTAAAGCCTTTTGGTGGATTTCCCCCTGCTAAGTGCTTATTACATTTAGAATAAAATTCAGTGTCCTTACTGTGGTTCACAAGACTGCAGAACCTGGTTCTTAACTGCTTCACTGACTTCATCTTCCTCCTCTCTTTCACTAAACTTTAGCCACACTGCTTTTAATTTCCTTAGTTACATCGTTATTGTACTATTCAAGGCCGTTGAGCATGCTGCTTGTCTGAATTGTTCCAGCGCCATTGCCATCTCCTTCTGCAGTTTTCAACTTAAGTGATACATTCTCAGAGAAGCCTTCTTGATGTTCTCTATCCTCTCTCCCTAGTCTTAATCTTGTTTCATCATTCCCTGTACCTTGCTTTATTTATTTTTCAGAACTTGTAATTATTACTGTTTTTTGAGACAGGATTTTTGCTCTGTTGCCCAGGCTGGAGTACAATAGCATGATCTCAGCTCACTGCAACCTCCGCCTCCTGGGTTCAAGTGATTCTCCTGTCTCAGCCTTCCAAGTACCTGGGATTACAGGTACCTGCCAACATGCCTGGCTAATTTTTGTATTTCTAGGAGAGACACGGTTCACCATGTTGGCCATGCTGATTTCGAACTGAGGCTTCTCTGAGGAGGTATCACTTAAGTTGAAAACTGCAGGATCGCCTCAGGCCAATCCACCTTCCTCGTCCTCCCAAAGTGCTAGGATTACAGGCGTGAGCCACCGAGCCCAGCCCAGAACTTGTAATTATATATTTGCATGAGTAGTTATTTAAAGTCTGTCTTCTGTTAGAATATAAACTAGTGACCACTTCATTTTTATTTCTCAATAATTTGTTAAATAAACTGGAACTTGCTATAAGAACCACATGTCTTTGGAAGCACAAGCTTTCTGATATTCTTGTCATCTCATGACAAGCACTTTCATTCTGAAAAGTTAGAGGACATGTGAGAAAAAAACAAAGAGTTTTCCAGCATTGGATACTTTTACCCATTCTTATGTCATAAAACCATTCAGATTCTACACTATTCGAATTGACTTTAGGTCAACTTTCCACTTTCAGTAACAAAACTAATTTGATCTCCTTTGTACATTTGTTTTATGGATCTTCTATAAGGAAAGAAAGCCTTCAAAAATCATAGTAGTGGTTTGTATATTTTCCCAACAGGTTAATCTTTAAGATTGGTAAAGGTGAGATTTCCATAAATAAAGCAAAATTCTGGTTGGGCGTGGTGGCCCACCTTTGTAATCCCAGCCCTTTGGAAGGCCGAGGTGGGCGGATCATGAGGTCAGGAGATCGAGACCGTCCTGGCTAACAAGGTGAAACCCCATCGCTACTAATAGTCTAAAAAATCAGCCAGGTGCGGTGGCACACACCTGTAATCTCAGCTACTCTGGAGGCTGAGGCAGGAGAATCACTTGAACCCGCAAGGCGGAGGTTGCAGTGAGCCAAGATCGTGCCACTGCACTCCAGCCTGGGGTGACAGAGCAAGACTCTGTCTCAAAAAAAAAAAAAAATTGATAATTCATGTATGGCATTTAGCACTGTGCTTAGTAAATGTTGCATAATAAATATTGGGTTGCATAATAAATACTAGGTGGGATGATGACATAGTGATGAGTTTCTGAATTAGAGTAGTAGCTATGAAAAATCTGGGATTTGAGTAAATGAGAGTGAGGTTAAGCTGATGCTAAGATTTCTTGCCTGAATGATCATAGAAGGACAAAAGTAGGGAAGTCTAGGAGCTTCCTTTTTTCTCTTTTGAGATGGAGTCTTGCTCCATCACCCAGGCTGGAGTGTAGTGGTGTGATCTCAGCTCACTGCAACCTCTGCCTCCCAGGTTCAGAGGATTCTCCTGCCTCAGCCTGCCAAGTAGCTGGGACTACAGGTGCGTGTTACCACACCAGGCTAAATTTTGTATTTTTTGTAGAAGTGGGGTTTCACCACATTAGCAGGCTAGTCTTGAACTCCTGACCTCAGGTGATCCGCCTGTCTTAGCCTCCCAAAGCGGTGGGATTACAGGTGTGAGCCACTGTGCCTGGCTTCTAGGAGCTTCTTAATGAGGGCGTGGACTATCATCATCTTCACACCTATATGCCTACCCGAGTGCCTTGAAAGCGGAGTAGCTTAATAATGATTGTTTGCTAAATGAATAAAGAAGTTTAAAGTTGATGTTGTAGCACTCAAATAGGCAGTGAGAGATGTGCAGGTAGAACTTCTGCAGGTAGAAAGTTCAGGCTTAGTGAGGTCTAATTAGAGAAATTTAGTTTTGAAAGAAAAGTGAAAGCACCAAGTTTACCCACCTTTTCAAATAGTATTAACCTTATGGAAGTGGAGTTTTTAAGACTTAAAGCATTACTATGTAACAAGGTTTATAAAGTGAACAAAGACCATTTTCTTTGTCACTGACTTCTTGGTTTTAAAATGTAGCAAGAATGATTAAGCCAAGATACAAGTTGAACAAGGTGCAGGCTCATCCTGTATCCTTCATTGTGTACAGCAGATAAGTTCCTAAAGTTCTGTTGATCATTTATGTGTGCCTATGTGTTATGCATCATATTTTAAATGTTTTCATTAAGGTAATCTGGGTTTTTTAAATAACCAAGAAGTTAATCTTTGTTGTATAAATGATCACTTGTCTTTTCTTTTTTTTTTTTTTTTTTAAATGAGTTGGAGTTTAGCTTTTGTTACCCAGACTGGAATGCAGTGGTGTGATCTCGGCTCACCCCAACCTCTGTTCCCTGGGTTCAGGCAATTCTCCTGCCGCAGCCTCCCGAGTAGCTGGGATTACAGGCATGCGCCACCATGTCCGGCTAATTTTATATTTTTATTTTTCTTTTTAAGTACAATTTCCATATTATTTTTCTCCAGAGAATAGTCCGTCTTCAGTCTTTAAGGACTCAGTTCCTTACATGGGCTTTGGTGGGGA